ATTTCTACATGCTTTCTCCCTCTCCTTATAAAGCCCGCATCTACTCCCTGATAACCCATTAAACCATTAACCCGTTAATCCATAAATGGATTGATCCACTCATGAAGGCAGAGTCATCACAATCCAATCACCTAAAGTCCCCACCTTTCAAATAGCATAATGCGGATTAAGTTCTAACATGAGCTTTGAAGGACACACACATTCAAACCATAACACTTGCAGTTTCCAAAGCACAGAGAGCTCTGTGTGGGCCAGTCTGAAAGAGACCACAGGGAAGGTGAGTCTGAAGCTATCGCTGGGGCGAGGAAGGCAACCGCGGGCTAAAGTCGTGCAGGCACTCTCCCAGCTAGGCCAGATGCGCAAAGGCACGTTGCTGTAAAGGCAGTCTGCTGGCAAGGCTGGTGAGAGAAGTCCCCAGAGGATTTGCCTTAATGAACAAATGAACAAGCACATCAGCTAGTTACGAGTAGAGTTCCTCCAAAATGACAGGTCTCATCCACAGGCATGGTGACATACTCCATGGATGCACAGGACATGCTCAATTTTAATGTTTGCTCTTCTTACAGCTCACATTTTCATACATTATACATCGACTCCCCTAAACTACACCCTTTGTCTGAATCTCAACTTTTATACCTTAGCTAATGGTTTCATATTGCTGTAAAATGCTGCTAACTACCAGGAACTGCTGCTGCTAGGAGAAAAAGCCAGGCCTCACTTGAGGTCAGAATCAAGCCCAGCGTCCTATCTTCCTCTTCCCCGTGGACGCCAATCGTATCTCAGGAGCCCACAAGGTCTGGAGCTTTCTGACCAGCCCGATGTCATAGGGGTGGGGAGGTGGGTACACAGGTGAGATGGAGCCACCCAAGACCCTACTCAGCTCAAGGTGTCATGCTAAGATCCCTTCCCCCATCTTTTCTCCAGGGATTTAGTGAATTGGGGCAGACCCCAAGGATTTTGAGTCTGTTCAGCTATCCTGTACCTCATTCCTGCAACAGAAGGTGCCTGTGGGAATGAGACATACCCAGGCCAGTTTCCCCAGTCCCTAGAGAAAGCTGACCCCCACCCCAGGGCCCCAACTCCATTCAAAGGTTCTTGCCTGACCATTCACTAACTTGCTCTCAAAGCAAGCAAAACCTTAATGAGGAGTTTCAAAACAGCTTTGGCTCTTTAGAAACAGAATTGCCCACCCTCCTGCCTTAGACAATTGGACCCTCCACATTGTGTCAGAAAGTGACAGCAGGTGTGCGGGTTTGGGAGCAGCTCCCTACAGGGTCTCTCCTCTCTCTTCCCCACAGCAGCAGCAGCTCTCCCCCTGGGGGACCACTGAGCCTTTGTCCACAGATCAGAATGCAGGACAGCTACACTCAAAGCAGGAAACAGGCTCCCAGATGCCAGTGGCTGCTTTTGTACCAGTGTTAGGATGACTTGAGAGGGGCAGAATTCTCCAGCTTTGGGGGTGATAGGAGATATGAAAAAGCCCCAAATTGTCTTCAACCCTACTCTGCATGTAGCACAATTGGCCAGGGAGCCCCTTCCTTTGGGGACTACTCTGACCCATGTGTGCCTGTTTGACTCAGTTTATGCCCCATCATCAGACCCTGGAGGACAGGCAGGGTGATGGGCATCTCAAACCCAATGATTTCAGCAAGGTACATGATCACATAACATCCAAACCAAGGTGTTATGGCACTTCAAAAAGAGAACATCAGGACAGTGACGTCTGGGTAGTGAAGTTCCTGGCTGAACTCAAAAGTCCCCACCTCCAGATCAGTGCCACATTCATCCTGAGACGACTGAGGGGACTCCATCCTTGGTGTAAAAATTTGCAGCAGTCCATTAGCAGTCGATGAATATGGTGTAAGAACTTTTTCATTGGTATATTTTGTAGAAGTTAATATTAATGATGATGATAACTTAAACGGTGGTACATCGTGCTCAAAAGTCAAAAGAATCAAGTTGACAAACGAAATATAACATACAAATACATGTTATAAACCCAAATCCGACATCATTTCACCGGCTTCATCATTAACATTTTCCACCACATAACGTTAATGTTAATTTGAACTCTATTAGTTATTGTTTAATCTGCACTTAATTTGAAATGCATTTTGGTTTCATAAAAGCTATTGCCTTATGTTTGTACATATTTAAATACTAAAATAATTTAGTCCAACATGTAACATTTTGAAGATGGCTTCAAGTATTATTTAAATGTATTATTTAAATTTGAGGAAATGTTATATAGTATTTGTCCACTTAACAAGTACTCACTAAACCTAAGAAACCCATCTGCTCGGGTACCATAAACCGATTTCTGTGGGAGCTCCAGATAAAAACATTTTATAGTACAAGAAATTACCTCCAGTACCACTACCCTTCGTGTGCTGCATGAAAGCAAGACACAAACTTTGGTCCAGAACTAAGTCTCTTTCAATAAACAGAGGTCAACCGCTTCACTCAATCAGCAAGCACTGTTTATTTTTTAAGATACCCCAGAAATATGGATCAGGAAGACAAAGAACAAAAGCAAAACTATCGAGCCACCCTGAAAAAAAAAAAAAAATGCAGTTCCCAAATGAACGTGTTACTTGAAAATATAAACCATTTCTTCTTAGCTTGGCTCCATCAGCCATCTCGGAAAAGGATGTTTTTACAATCGGAGCAGAAGTATGACTGGCCGCTCCCACATTTACATTTCTTTGTTGCAAAATGAATGTCACTTGTTCAGATTCCAGCAGTGGAGAAAGCAGCAGCCGTAGTGGTTACTTTCCAAAGTGAAACTTAAAACCACAATCTCCGGTGCACAAAAGGCAGAATGAGTCACAGGAAGAGGCCACTTGCTTGCAAAACTCATTAAAAGCAATGCGGGGCTGAATGGACTTCCTGCACCAATGAAAAGACTGCTGGCATTGGGACAGGCACCCGAGGCTCCAACAATTTGGGGGAGGAAGGGAGCCATTAGAAATCGGGGCACAGCCTAGGTTCACAGGCACCAGCCCCTCACCCCCCGCCTCACACCACAGTCTGCTTGGCCTGGAACCCCTCCCAGCCTGGACAGGCTCACATCTGAGATCCCTGGGAAGGTATCTCAGGTCAGAAGCTGTGCATCTTGTGACTCCAACAAGCACCTGTGTTAGGTTTCCAAGCTCCTTTCCAGGAGTGGCCGAGGCAAGATGTCTTTACAGGGGCTTCCCTCCTGCAGCAGGCCTCGGTGAGCTCCGGGCAGTATCTGCTCTGGCCAGGCCAGACTAAAGTCAGATGTGAGCTGCAGCAATATGAGAAGCTTCTCCTGTGTCATANCTCATTAAAAGCAATGCGGGGCTGAATGGACTTCCTGCACCAATGAAAAGACTGCTGGCATCGGGACAGGCACCCGAGGCTCCAACAATTTGGGGGAGGAAGGGAGCCATTAGAAATCGGGGCACAGCCTAGGTTCACAGGCACCACCCCCTCACCCCCCGCCTCACACCACAGTCTGCTTGGCCTGGAACCCCTCCCAGCCTGGACAGGCTCACATCTGAGATCCCTGGGAAGGTATCTCAGGTCAGAAGCTGTGCATCTTGTGACTCCAACAAGCACCTGTGTTAGGTTTCCAAGCTCCTTTCCAGGAGTGGCCGAGGCAAGATGTCTTTAAAGGGGCTTCCCTCCTGCAGCAGGCCTCGGTGAGCTCCGGGCAGTATCTGCTCTGTCCAGGCCAGACTAAAGTCAGATGTGAGCTGCAGCAATATGAGAAGCTTCTCCTGTGTCATATGAAACGTGCTTCTCGAACTTGAGCGTGCATCAGAATCCCCTGCAGGGCTTGTTAAAACACACTGCTGGGGACCACGCCCTAGCTTGGTTGAATAGGTCTAGGATAAGGGCCCAAGAATTTGTATTTTTAACAAGCTCCCCAATGCTGGAGCCGCAGGCTGGGAGACTACACAGTCTAAACGGTTTTTAGACCTGAACAAACAGCCTCGGACTGCTCCCTTTTCCTAGCCACGTAGTCATGTGGGACCTCAAGCTGCGCCAATTGGAGGTACTTTGGTACCAAAACAGTCCCCTTCTCTGCCTACAGGTCCAATCCACAAGCTGGCTGGTTTCCAAGTGTAGCACCTCAGGGCAAGGGCCTTTGTCAAAGCAGAGCCGATGTTTTTAAAAGGCTCTGCTACCAAACCAAAAGCGACTGTGCCCCCAGGTGGCCATTTGGGCCCACGGACGTGCAGGGCCAGCTTCTGTCTGGTCATACTCTGGTTTCCTTCAGGAACCAAGCCCCCTGCCTGGCTTGCAAAAGAAGTGACACTGATGACCGCCTTTGATGTAGCAGGAGTTGCAAGAGGGGTTTGAAGCAGAGAGTGGAAAACCCCACAGCATTTTAACCGCCTCCCCTTAGCTTATGGCAGCAACGGAGCACAGTGCTGCTCCCACTGGGTCTGAAGACAAAATACAGAAAACAGCTGCACAGAGGGGAGGCCAGTGAGATGTCAGAGGTGATGGGACAAACGCTGCTGGGAGCAGCTGGTCAGGACAGCACCTTTTCTTAGAAAGAGCACTTTGGGGCCCAAAGCTGATGGCCAGTGACCCCATCCCCTGTTCCTCGGCCTCCAGTGCAAGGGTGGTGGCATGTCCGTGTTGGAAAACCAAGCTCTAAAGGAATTTAAACATTCAGGTGATCACAGCTGAGACATTGGGGCAGTCCAAGCTACCAGCTGGCCTCCCTGAGCACATGTGAGAGCGGCCAGCAGAACCTCAGGGCACAGCACAGCCTGGTGCACCACGAACGAGAAGGATGCAAGGGTGGTGGCATGTCCGTGTTGGAAAACCAAGCTCTAAAGGAATTTAAACATTCAGGTGATCACAGCTGAGACACTGGGGCAGTCCAAGCTACCAGCTGGCCTCCCTGCGCACGTGTGAGAGCGGCCAGCAGAACCTCAGGGCACAGCACAGCCTGGTGCACCACGAACGAGAAGGACGCAGGGCAGTGACAGAATGAGGGAATCAGTGGGCCACAGACAATAGTTTATACTAATTTTTATTTTACCGATTTACCTTACGCACCACAATCAGAGTTGGAACAAAATCTGTGATGTTGCTCAACAAAATGAGAGGGGTTTTTTGGTTGTTTTTAAAGATGTACAAGCATTAATTCTACAGATGCCCAGAGGTGAACTGTTTGAATTTGGGCTTTGTGAGGAATCCAGCCTAGTATCTGTGCGGCTACATTTTGAGCATTTAGAGACCATTCATTCCACAATCGCTTGGACGATGCAGGTAAATCAATAGGTAGTCTCCAACCTGACAAGGATGCACAAAATCAATAGGAATTCTGACCATTTTCAGCTCGTATAATTAAACTGGCCAAGCATCTTGACTGATTCACTCAGAATGAAAAACAAATCTGGGGTATACCACAGAGAAGACGAGAGCCCAAAAAACAAGGACAATGGATGGGAGGCAAGGGGAGCCCATATGGTACACAGCCAAACATGGAGGCCCGGGGTAGTGCTTCAGGAACAACACTTAATTAAGACCTCCCTGCTCCCAAGTCATCTCAGGCTGCAGCCTTCTCCTCTCTTTGTTCATCCCTCCTGTCTCTCCCAAGTGCATGTAGAAGATTAGTATTTTACCCACTTGAATCTAAAACATCAAAAAAGATGTTTATTCCAAATAGTGAACAGTCCATAGACTTAAGCATTTTTTTAGAGTAATATGCTTGATAACACACATCAGAAAATCAGCAATTTAATGACTTACCAAAAACTACTTAAAATTCACATGCCTGATTTTCAGAGAAGTCTTTCATCAGTCTCATTTATTACAATATTTTCTAGCTTTGCATCTAGCACGACACAATGAAGTACCGCCGTGATTTTTATCATCACACCAGCATATACAAATACAGATCAAACGTTGTAAATAAAATGTATTTAAAGTGGTGATCAGAACCTAACATTGAAAAGGGAATTCTCTTTGAAGTTGTAATCATTTTTCTCCAATGTGCCAGGTATATATTTTTCTATATGCCAGGTATACATTTTTCTTCATCACATGTGATAAACATTTGATGAGTTGTCACTATGGACTGATTCATTTCCATAGGGCAACTCTGAAATGCATGGTCCAAATATACCATTCGAGCACATGAACTCAGTGTCACAGGTTATAGTCATGTACACACAGATAAACCAACTCACATATGCATGAGTGCAGCTCATATACAAATCTCACTTTCAGAAGCCACAAGGCAGGTGTTTATAAAGCAGCCTCACCAGGGCTCACACTGAACTTGACACAGATCTGAGAGTGTGACTTTTGGAAAGGCATGATCTGTTTCAGGGTGCAGTAATGTGGAAGTTAAAGGTACATCAAAATTAGGGGTCTCAAGGAGCATGCTCTCAAACCTCCACTTGGAGAAAGGACTACAGAGGGTCATCCTGATGAAGGGTGAATTGCATGAGGGATATGCACCCACTCTTGCCACCAAAGCTCCTCACAGGTGCAAAGGAGAAACTGTAGGCCCGTGAGCTGATACTTAGTTCATTCAAAAATATCATTGTGGCAGAAAGAATTAACGCAGCCTCCAAAGGTCACTAATAAACAAGCTCAGAGGACTTAGTTAAGGCAGGACTATTTTTAATTATTTTTATACCTCCAAAACGGAATCTGCACATGCATGTCCATGTTTCTATGTGACTCTGCGATCAATGACACACGTCTTATTGGCTTCTCTCTGCTTGTTCACATGAATGGCTCAGCAAAGGCATTCGCTGCTACCAGAGCCACCCAGCTACAAGGGAGGCAACAACTCTGGATTTTCTTTCACAGAAAGAGTAAAATTTCAATCAACTGTCCTATTTTTTGCCTCCTATGACTAACCATGAAATTTAAATAGAAAAGCATTTCAATCATTGGAATAAAATACTCTTTAAAAAAATAATATTTCAAAAAGTAAAGCAAGATCTTTAACCAAAGTAATTCTTTTACTTAACTGTTCTCTTTACAGGCCAATTTAAATAACCAGTAAAAGAATCACCTTCTCACAGCTTAAAGAATGTCACTCAAATCATTATTTTTTAACTTTCTCTTAATTTGAGTGAGAAAAGCTAAGGAAAATAAATTACTCATAAATTCCAAAAGGAAGTCCAGTGTATGGAATTATAGAATAGTGCTCTTTGGATAGTCTAACACATATCTTTTTAATGTATTAGTGACAGTTGCAATAGAAGGAATATGGATAAAATGCTTCTAACAGGAACCCAATCAGAGTAAATAAATAATATCTACAAAGAATATAATTTAATTTCTTGAAACTATTTTCTTAAAATCAAGTAGTTTCTTTTGAGCGCTCCCCCCAAAAACTGACATCATCATCATTTGGCATAAGCTCTGTGCAAGTCCATGTTATCAGCACCACCTCGCTGGATAAAAGGATGCTGGCAGAGTGTTGAACTGATCCAAAACACTGCCTTACTAATATTTACTATCATTTTAATTTAAGGCATTACAAAGTTACCAAGAGCTAAACACAGCACATTCTAAATAAAATATCTGCCGCAGATGCATTAAGGCATAAATATTCCAGCCTTGAGCCACAAAAAAATGGGGGAAAATATGCCAATTACATAGACTATCTTTAACCAAAGGAATTAAAAAAGAATTTATCACCTAAAAATGAGACTAGTCAGCAAATACTGCAAGGAAACATCTACAAGGCCAAAGCCAAGGCCAAGGCCAAGGCCCAGACCCAGTGAGGTCTGAATTCCCTTCAGGGACCTCAGATCCAGGACATGTCACCCTTCACAGCCCTCCCAGCTGTGCGCAGAAGAAAGTGGCACTAACGTTGCTATAATGGAAATGTGCCCCCTCTTCTACCAAAAACCGTGCACAGCTGGCTCAATTGACACTGTCATTAGCCGGGACAGCCCTTGGACAGCCACCTTCTGCTCAGGTTTCACAAGCCCACACTGCACATTAAGCAATAACTAATCTCTGCAGCGGATTGAGAATGCAGTGTTGGAATGGGCATTAAGCCACAACCAAGGAATGCTTTCCACACTAGGCGTGTACCCGATTCCTCGCCTACAAATACACCCTCCGTATTTCACTTCGAAGTGTTACCCCTGAAGGTGAGGCGGGGGAGAAATGCTTCTCCATCACCGCTGCTCTTAAGCAAACGACGGCACACAGGCTCCCGAGCTGCAGCTGCGCATGCTCACAACCTATCCTTTAATGCGTGGCGCCCAGGCTTCTGCACTGCTGGCTCCAGGCTGCTCGCACATCTTATGTGGAAGCAGAATGGACGTCCTGGTTTTCAAAAGGTGGCAGTGGCTCTCTCCAGAAGGTGAAATTACTGAAAGTATCCGAACACGGGAAGTCTGAAGAATGGCTTCTTTTCAGCAATGGGAAAACGTGGTCAACCACTTCACAGAGCCTCACATACCTGGAAGGAAAATGGACATCGTCATTGCCACTGAGTGACACCTAGCCATGCCAAAACCAGCTACACACCCGGGGCTGCACTTAGAAAGTGGGAGAAATCTACGACCCCAAGTGGCAGACCACCTACTTAACAAGACTGACATAATTTTCTAGAATAATTTCTTACTAATTAATCAGAAATCAGAGATGAAACAGAGCATGAAAAGAAAGAGTCACAGAAGGCTCCCGGGAAGAAGTCTGTGGGACTTGACCTTGCACAAAGGACAGACGAAAGGGGGCAGAGCAGAAGCAAAGGACGATAGGAGGAAACCAGCCTGGCCAAAGGACAGCCACCACATGTGGGACCATAGGGGAAGCAATCACAGACAAAGCACATCTTTGGTGCGTCAAACAGAGACTGCTTCGTTGTTCAAGGAAGACTCTGGGCCCTGGAGTGAAGGAGACATGGATATGACCTTCAGCTCTGTTATTTACTAGCTGTGTGATCTTGGGCACGTGGCTTAATCTCTCCACGACAAAGGGAGGAAATGAAAACTGTGCCACGGTGTTAATATCAGAGTTAAATAAAATAATGTATGTAACAATAATGTATACTGTATACTCAATAAATATATTCAATGACAAATCATTATTAACATGTCTTAGGAAAAGACATGGCTGGTATTAGGGTCAAGAGAACAGGGATCTACTCCTGCCTTACTTGCTGTGTAAGCACGGACAAGTGTCTTGCCCTCTCTGGGGCTCAGACCCTTCATCTTTACAGTATGTGGAGTTGAACTAGCACAGAATTTCTCATTTCTCCCTACAACAGTCTATCACTCTATTTCCCAAGAACGTGTTGCATATCAGTTTCTGTGGCCTGTACAGACAAGTGTCTTGCCCTCTCTGGGGCTCAGACCCTTCATCTTTACAGTATGTGGAGTTGAACTAGCACAGAATTTCTCATTTCTCCTTACAACAGTCTATCACTCTATTTCCCAAGAACGTGTTGCATATCAGTTTCTGTGGCCTGTACAACAAAAAGAAAGTTGCTATACTGAATATGAATTTTCAGACCTCTGTTACCTCCAGCTGAGATTCTAACACAACCAGCTCTCTCCCGCACATCCCAAGACTCCTTCTTGCATGGGTCCCTCTCCAGTTCCAATTTTCTAAGAACCTAAAGGGGCTTTCGAAATCCAAACTCCACGAATTAGCATGTTCTGAGGCATAAAATAACTTATTAAATAAGGATGAGTGTGTGTATTTAATAAAGGACCTCCAAAGGACTTATGAGAAACAGTATGCTTGCACAAAATGGGAAAATTCTCTCAATATAAAACCAAGAATTGTGTCTTTCCTGGGGAATAAAACAAACAAACAAATTTTTTAAATACCTCTTGGCTTTAAGGCCTATTTGTTTGAGGTTTGTGGCTGGGGGGGTGCCCTCCCTGCATGGAGCTGCTCCCTGCTAGGCTGCGGTGGGCACCAGAACCAAACCCACTCTCACATGCTCTAGTGGCAGCGCCAAGCTCCATCTGTGCCTCTCTTGAACCAACCCACTATGCACAGGCTCCTCCAGAGCTAGCAGAGCTCATGCCCTGATGCTCACAAATGCAGGAGAAAGCATAAGCTTCTCCACCCGGCGTGGCCCCATCCACCTGAAGACATTTCAGATGATCATCCCAGGTTCCAAGGGACAAGCACCGACTTGGCTTAGAAATGGTTGTACTGAGTTTAGTGGTAGAGAAATGCATGCTTCCCGGGAAAGGAGAGTTCCTCTCTCCCAGGAACAGTCCCATCTCCCTCCAGGTATAAATGACGACGTTCTTTGGCACTATGTAAAGTGTGCTCCCACGCAGAGGTCCGCCCCAGGCCAAGGGGTGGGCAGAGCACGCATTTTAACCCCAGAGCTGCAGCGAATGGAATGACCTCCTGAGGCCTCCCAGGCAAACCCTCTTAGACAATGGGATCCCTCCTTCCATGCACCACCCAGCAAGACCTGCCGCTCTCCCATTTCTGGGCAGTATCCCATTGGTTGAAAGTTCTTTTTGACCTTAAACAGAAATCCACTAGACCAGGGAAACCCTTTCTTGTGGGAACGCACCACAGCAGGAATGCAGAAGAAAAGGGCAGGACAACATTGCCAGAGAAACTGCAAGAAAAGGGTCAAGAAAGAAGCCAAGTTCCTGCTGTTGTTCCTCCTAACTCACCTGCTAAAGAGCTGGCAGGGGGAGGTGGGGAGGGTTGCCCATCCTACCCTCGCACCCCACAGACCTTGAGAACGACTTGAGAACCAGCATGACTGTGGGGCTGGGAGGCCTGTGGGGCAAACGCACCACAGCAGGAATGCAGAAGAAAAGGGCAGGACAACATTGCCAGAGAAACTGCAAGAAAAGGGTCAAGAAAGAAGCCAAGTTCCCGCTGTTGTTCCTCCTAACTCACCTGCTAAAGAGCTGGCAGGGGGAGGTGGGGAGGGTTGCCCATCCTACCCTCGCTCCCCACAGACCTTGAGAACGACTTGAGAACCAGCATGACTGTGGGGCTGGGAGGCCTGTGG